AACCTCCTGCAGTACCTCTGCACATCACGCTCCAGAGTGGACGGGCCACTCACCTCTGCTACCCCACCTCCTACTCCTCCCTCCCAACCTCTTCCATTTTTCCAGCCCTCCCCCTCTCTTCCTTCTCATCCTCACCAACCCTCAGGTCAGAACCTCGTCGCCTCGTCGTCAATCTGGTCCCTCCTGTATATGGTTCCAGGGGTTGAGTTTCAGCCCCTGGCTCCTGGTGCGTGCATGAAGAGTGCTGAAAGATAGTCACATCAGGTGCCAAGCAACAGTGAAGTCAGATGTAGGTGAAGTGTCTGAACATTGGGGTCAGGTAATGTTGGGTGAAGTTTGGACCAATGTATCTGGTCCTTTATAATTTATGAGATGGGTTGATTGCATTTTCTTTTTTTTTTTTTTGTTTTGTTTTGGACTGTAAGAAGGCTTTTGTCACTGCACTTCACAAGAAACTGGTACAAAAGCTAGAGGAGAAGGCAGCACATACCATGAGGTACATATCAACCAAATAACTGCTGCAGCATATTCTTGTCTGGCAAACCTGAGAATAGCATTTTGACATCTAAGTAAGGAGTCATTCACGACACTGTTCACTGTGTACATCAGGCCCATTTTGGAGTATGCAGCACCAGTAAAGGTCTCACACCTAATCAAGCACATAAAGAAATTAGAGGAAGTGTAAAGGTGTGCACCAAACCTAGTCCCAGAGCTAAGGGGCACGGTGGAACCTCAATATTCGTACTTCCTTATAATCATACAACTCAATTTTCAACCTAAACAGAAAGGTCCATCTGGACGAAGTCTGACAAAAGCAAAGCATCATGTGTTCAGTCTCCCTTCAGCTTTCGTTTGTTAAACATCGTATGTGCAAGCTCTGTGAAACTTTTTGGTATTTAATTGTTATTCTGTGGTGTTTTTTAAATATTTTCATTGAACATAAGTAATCATGGCCCCAAAAAGAGAGTGGTGATCCAAACAAGCCTAAAAGGAAAGCAACAACTAAAGTGAATAAAGACTTTATTGTGAAGTTGGAAAGTGGAACATGTGTGTTGGACCTGGCCACTCAATATGGTATGGTGAAATCCACCAAATCATCCATAATAAAAAATAGGCAATAAAAGAGGTTGATGTGACAAAATTAGTAAAAATTCTTGCTGTGAAAATGTCACAGATAATTGTAGTAATGGAAAAACTTTTGTTAGTGTGGATTAACCAAAAACAATTGGCCGGTGACAGTGCTTCTGCAACAATAGTTTGTGTAAAAGCAAAGCTCAGGAAACAGTGCTGAAAGTGATGAATTTTAGGCAAGTAGGGGCTTGTTTGATAGGTTTCAAAAGAGGAGTGGGATTCATAGTGTATTAAGGCATGGGGAGGCTGCCAGTGAGGCTGAAAAGTTTGTTAAGGGCTTTAAAACCTGTGTAGATATTGAGGGATTTATTCCTCAACAAATTTTTAATTGTGATGAAACAGGCCTCTTTTTGGAAATGAATGCCTGTGATAATTTACATCGCACAAGAAGAAAAATCATTATCAGGACACAAACCCATGAAAGACAAGCTAACACTCTTGTGAGGTAATGCTAGTGGGGACTGTAAAATTAAACCATTGCTAGTCTACTACTCTTAAAATCCTAGGGTGTTTAAGAAAAACAATGTGATAAAAAGTAAACTCAGGTTAATGTGGAGGGCTAATAGTAAAGCTTGGGTAACAAGGCAGTTCTTCACTGAGTGGATACATGAAGTTTTGCCCAGAGTGTGAAGCAGTACCTTTCAGAAAAAATTAGCATTAAGAGCACTTCTGGTAATGGACAATGCTCCTTCTCACCCTCCAGGCTTGGAGGAAAATTTTTGGTGGATGAATACAGCTTCATTAAAGTGAAGTTCTTGCCCCCCTAATACCACTTCTTTTATCCCTCCCTTGGACTAGTAGGTAATTCCCAATTTTAAGAAACGTTACATAAAAGCACTGTTTAAAAGGTGCTTTGAAAAAACATTTTAATATCCTCCAGTGTTTAAGGATAATGGATAAAGCCTGGGGGGATGTTTCTTTTGGGAAAATGAACTCTGCCTGAAAGAAATTGTGGTCAGATTGTGTGTCAGTCAGAGATTTTGAAGGCTTTGAGGCAGAGCCTGTAGTGAAGGATATTGTTTTTCTGGGCCTGTCCATGGGTTTGGAAATGGATGAGGATGATGTAGAGGAGTTGGTGGACGATCATAAGGATGAGCTCACCGTAGAAGAACTTAAAGACCTGCACAGGGAGCAGCAATAAGTGGTTGAGTAAATTTCTTCTTCATAGGAGGGAAGCAGTAAGGGCAAGTTTTCCACTGTAGAAATTAAGGAACCATGTTACCATTGGGCTCGAACACAGAGCCTGGTGAAAAAATGGCATCCTAACATTACTGTTGTGAATAGGAGCATCAACCTGTTAAGTGATGATGCTGCTGACCACTTTAGAAAAAAATTGAAAAGTCAACAAAAGCAGACAACATTGAACAGCAATGGAAAAGAAAAAATCAAATGCTAGTGAATCCCCATCATCTTCAAGTGCTACTGCACAGAGAGAAAAGACAAAAAACATCATACAGGAAGTTAAATGATGTTTTTGTGGAAGGTGACACCCTTTCTAAACAATAATATCTCTCTTCCTTCCTCTTAGGCAATCAACACTCCTCAGTAAATGTAAAGTGCAGTTAAATTTTAATTTAATTCATGTGCTAGCCGAGTTACCATCTGGAAAAGACCCGGGCTGGGACATGTACTGGCGAATCATTCAAGTTCAGTTTTCATGTACTGTTTTTATAGCTTTCATGTATGATTTTTATCTACGCAAATATTATTATACAGGTTTAAATAGGCAGTATTTTCACTTAAAATGTTTTATAATTGGTAATTTTCTGGGATCTGGAATGGATTAATACAGTTTACATTATTTCTTTGGGGAAAAATTTATTCAATATTTATGCAACTCACTATTCAAACAGCCTCCTGGAACAGATTAGGTTCAAATATCGAGGTACCACTGTATGTCCTATGAGGAGAGGTTAAGGGAATTCAACCTGATGACACTGGAGGATAGGAGGGCTGGGAGAATGTGATAATGATGTACAAAATACAGATAGGAATTGACAGGGTGAACAGTTTTATATACAGTAGTTGGTCTTGTAATGATGGTATTATTGTATTTGGTCTTTGCTCATTCTAGTTTAACTTTATAAATATAGTTAAGGAAGCAGAATTCTGTCATTCTCATGTTGTAGTTTAATATAAACACAATTAGAGGGTAAGAATTTTTTAAATAACTTAGGTCTAGCAATCTGTTAGTACATAACTATTTGTGTTTATACACTGATGTATCTATAGTTGGTGGTGTTACCACAAGCCATTCATTGATCACTCTCCCTGCTCTTTTACTACTAGTATCATGTTAAATATTATTGTTCCTGAATTACTTTTTTTTCTTCCAATGAACTGGCCATATCCCACCAAGGCAGGGTGACCTAAAAAGAAAAATGAAAGTTTTTCTTTTTAAATTTAGTTATTTATACAGGAGAAGGGGGTTACTAGCCCTTTGCTCCCGGCATTTTAGTCTCCTCTTATGACACGCATGGCTTACAGAGGAAGAATTCTTTTCCATTTCTCTATGGAGATGACAGGAAATAAAGAAGAACAAGAACTATTAAGAAAATAGCAGAGAACTGAGGTGGGTATGTCTTTTTTTCAACACACCAGCCGTATCCCACCGAGACGGGGTGGCCCAAAAGGAAAAACGAAAGTTTCTCCTTTTACATTTAGTAATATATACAAGAGAAGGGATTACTAGCCCCTTGCTCCTGGCATTTTAGTCGCCTCTTATGACACGCATGGCTTATGGAGGAAGAATTCTGTTTGACTTCCCCATGGAGATAAGAGGAAATAGACAAGAACAAGAATTAAAAAGAAAATAGAAGACAACCCAGAGGGGTATGTATATGCTTGTACATGTATGTACGGTGTGACCTAAGTGTAAGTAGAAATAGCGAGACACAAAAGACACCAGCAATCCTACCATCATGAAAAACAATTACAGGTTTGTTTCCATTTCACACTCACTTGGCAGGACAGTAGTACAGGTTCACGTCCCTTTATCCGAAACCCTTGGGGCCAGTATTGTTTCGAATTTCAGACTTTTTTAAATTTCAGAATGATTCTCAACACCGCCACGTGGTGGCATGACACAGCACCGAGATGACCGACACTTCATACTCCATGAAAAAAACTTCGGTTTATGGAACTTCTCGAATTTCAGAATTTTGGATAAAGGGATATGGACCTGTACCTTCCTGGGTGGTTGCCATCTACCAATCTACTTCTTGTATACTCATTTATCTACCTGAAAGTTAATTATACACAAGTCTAATCACTGTATTATATTTTGCATGTCCACTGGAAACTTAGTATAATACTTCAGTCATTCTGGTTATGTGTTTGTAATTTTTAGTAACAAACACTTCATATATTGCAAAGTTTTCAACACATGAAAGTACAGTGAAGCTTTAAGAAATAAAGATATGAAAGAGGTTGAATCATTGAGTCTGAAGCTAACTTAAGAAAATGTATCATCCAATATACCTGTAATGCTCCCTGGCCTAACCAGTAGGCCACCTGCAGTACTTGAACATTTGCTTCTCATGCCATGATCCCATACCTCACCTCCCTGTATTCTTGGGAAGATAAGGTGTGAGGTGTGGTATGCTTGCAGTGCATCATTACATAATGACTGAAAAAATCTGTTATACATGTTAAATATTGTTTCAGTCATTATCAGTTGTATGCCATTTCTTTCCAAATTTAATGTAATTTTTGATAGACTAGATCTGTTTGTTTCAGTAAGCTAAATAAAACCTTATTGTAGATTTGTATTGTGAAAGCTTCACAAATACCTCTGACAGTATACACATCTTTCTACTTCTTTCACTACTAATTGTAGTTGCATATTAATTTCTTTTTTGATTACTCAGATCAAGATGGATTCATAACTAGAATGATGGAGAGGAAGGCACGAAGTGGTGAACGCGGAATGGTAGACCTGACGTATCGTCAAGAACCTTCTAAAGATATATATGGTGAGGTTCTCCAACAGAATTTATATTCTCTTTTGTGCAAAATAAACAGATGGCTTAGGTTCACAAAAATTTGTAAAATTTGTACATGTAATTGTCATTGACCAAAACATTTCATATCATAAGGCAGGCCAATACAAAAGAACATTAAAATATAATATTAAAGCATTTTTTTTTATTATTGTTAACACATGGCCGATTCCCACCAAGGCAGGGTGGCCCGAAAAAGAAAAACTTTCACCATCATTCACTCCATCACTGTCTTGCCAGAAGGGTGCTTTACACTACAGTTTTTAAACTGCAACATCAACACCCCTCCTTCAGAGTGCAGGCACTGTACTTCCCATCTCCAGGACTCCAGTCCGGCCTGCCGGTTTCCCTGAACCCCTTCATAAATGTTACTTTGCTCACACTCCAACAGCACGTCAAGTATTAAAAACCATTTGTCTCCATTCACTCCTATCAAACACGCTCACACATGCCAGCTGAAAGTCCAAGCCCCTCGCACACAAAACCTCCTTTACCCCCTCCCTCCAACCTTTCCTAGGCCGACCCCTACCCCGCCTTCCTTCCACTACAGACTGATATACTCTTGAAGTCATTCTGTTTCACTCCATTCTCTCTACATGTTCGAACCACCTCAACAACCCTTCCTCAGCCCTCTGGACAACAGTTTTGGCAATCCCGCACCTCCTCCTAACTTCCAAACTACGAATTCTCTGCATTATATTCACACCACACATTGCCCTCAGACATGACATCTCCACTGCCTCCAGCCTTCTCCTCGCTGCAACATTCATCACCCATGCTAAACAGTCTTGGTCCTCTGACACTTAGTGCATTGTCTCTTAGCGTACTCATGGCACCCCTGCTTTTCGTTGTAAGAAATTCTTAACATCAATGTGTTTTTTTTTTTAAATGAATGATTATTATTATTATTATTATGATAATAAAGGCAAGCATTGGTTTAGTCTGGTACTTTTGTCATTGTGTTAACCCTTAAACTGTCCAAACAAATTTACGTTCACATGCGTAGTACTCCAAAAGTAGATCTACATGTTTTTACATATTTTCAAATATAACAAAACAAAAGTAGATCAAAGTTTTTTTTTTACACGTTTTCAAATGCAAAAAAAAAGAAAAGATCTACTTTTTTTACATATAGTAGGACCCTGCTGTACGACGTTTCACTTTACGGCTTTCCGCTAATACGGTCATTTCAAATTATGACCAAAACTCGCTATACGGCTCCCCCCACCTGACTTTCTAATATGGTCACCGTGCCCCACCCTGTTTGTTTACATTCTCTGTGAGCTCAATAAGCACTAAGTCTCTACATTTTATCTGGAAACTCCAAAATTTCAAGTGTTTTTAAAAGTTATTTCATATTTTATATTTTTTTTTTTTTTTTTTTTTTTTTTTTTCCAACAAGTCGGCCGTCTCCCACCGAGGCAGGGTGACCCAAAAAAAAAAGAAAATCCCCAAAAAGAAAATACTTTCATCATCATTCAACACTTTCACCACACTCGCACGTTATCACTGTTTTTGCAGAGGTGCTCAGAATACAACAGTTTAGAAGCACATACATATAAAGATACACAACATATCCCTCCAAACTGCCAATATCCCAAACCGCTCCTTTAAAGTGCAGGCATTGTACTTCCCATTTCCAGGACTCAAGTCCGACTATATGAAAATAACCGGTTTCCCTGAATCCCTTCACTAAATATTACCCTGCTCACGCTCCAACAGATCGTCAGGTCCCAAGTACCATTCATCTCCATTCACTCCTATCTAACACGCTCACGCACGCTTGCTGGAAGTCCAAGCCCCTTACCCACAAAACCTCCTTTACCCCCTCTCTCCAACCCTTTCGAGGATGACCCCTACCCCGCCTTCCTTCCCCTATAGATTTATATGCTTTCCATGTCATTCTACTTTGATCCATTCTCTCTAAATGACCAAACCACCTCAACAACCCCTCTTCTGCCCTCTGACTAATACTTTTATTAACTCCACACCTTTTCCTAATTTCCACACTCCAAATTTTCTGCATAATATTTACACCACACATTGCCCTTAAAACAGGACATCTCCACTGCCTCCAACCGTCTCCTCGCTGCTGCATTTACCACCCAAGCTTCACACCCATATAAGAGTGTTGGTACTACTATACTTTCATACATTCCCTTCTTTGCCTCCATAGATAACGTTTTTTGACTCCACATATACCTCAAGCACCACTCACCTTTTTTTCCCTCATCAATTCTATGATTAACCTCATCCTTCATAAATCCATCCGCCGACACGTCAACTCCCAAGTATCTGAAAACATTCACTTCTTCCATACTCCTCCTTCCCAATTTGATATCCAATTTTTCTTTATCTAAATCATTTGACACCCTCATCACCTTACTCTTTTCTATGTTCACTTTCAACTTTCTACCTTTACACCACCCCCAAACTCATCCACTAACCTTTTGCAATTTTTTTTTGATCCCCCCAAAGCACAGTTCATCAGAAAAAAGAACCCGTGTAAATTCCCCTTTTTAAATTTGTTTTCCCCCAAAATTTTAAAATCCACCCTTCCCAAAACCCCCTAGCATTTACTTCCTTTTAAAAAACCCCCATTTTAAAATATTTAAACAACCATGGTGACTTTACAATCCCTGTCTAAGACCTACTTTTACCGGAAGTGTCCCCCTCTCTTCACACCCCCAACCCTGAGCCTCATTTTATCCCAAAAAAAACCTTACAGCATTTAATAACTTACCACCTTTCCCCAATACTTCAAAAATTTGCCACATTGCTCCTTATCCCTCTATCAATGCCTTTTCTAAACCCATAAATCAATAAAAATTCCCTATCTTTATCAAAATACGTTCACATTATGCTTCATGTAAAACACCTGTCTACAACCCCCTCCCCATTTAAAAACCCCCTTTGCTCATCCACAACCCTACATTCTGTCTTACCCTTAATTCTTTCAATATAACCCTACCGTACATTTTTTCCTGGTTTCAGTAAGCTTATTCCTCAAAATTTTTTTACATTTTTTTGTCCCCCTTTCCTTTTATATAAAGGGATATACTGCTCTTGCCAATCCTAGGTACCTTCCCCCCTCTTTCATACTTTTTTATTAAAAAAAAAAGTACCAACCACTCCCCAAAACTAATCCCCCCCCGCTTTTTAACATTTCTGTCATGATCCTCGTTCCAGCTGCTTTCCCCCTTTCATTTTACGTAATGCCCACGACCCCCCCCACACTTACATTCGCTCTTCTTCACTCCCAAAAATGGGATACCTCTTACCAGGCATGAAATTACTGCCCTCTGTTTTTTCCTTAACATTTAAAAGTTCCTCAAAATATTCTCGCCACACCAATACCCCATCTCCCCATCTACTAACTCCCCTACTCTGTTTTTTTCTGACAAATCCCTATTTTCCCTAGGGGTTTTTTTAACTTGTTAACTCACCCCCAAAATTTTTTCTTTTTTTTTCCCTTAAAATTTCTTGACAGTGCCTCCCCACCTATCATTGCTTCCTTTTTCACCCTTTTACCACTTCTTTATTTCTTTTACTCTCCTAACTCTGCTCTTTCTTAAAACCCTTCTGTTTTAAAAAAAAACCTCTCATAAGAAAACCTTTTTTTCTTTTTTTATCACCCCCTTTACTTCATCATTCCACCAATCACCCCTTTTCCCCCCTGCCCCCACCCCCCAAAAACCACAAACTTCTGCCCCACATTCTTACTGCATTTTTAAAAAAATATTCCAACCCTCTTCAACCCCCCCCACTCATCTTTGCACTAGCCCACCTTTGCCAATAGGTTAAAATCTCACCCGAATTTTCCCCTCCCTTGTTTTTTACCTTCCCCCTCCCTCTTACTTGTTGTTGCCCCCTTCCTTTCTTTTTTCCCTTACCCTTACTTAACTGTAGCACAATAAATAAAGATCCGATTATCAGTTGCCCCCTATAAACTGAATCCCGGAGCCTACCCTCAACCTTTTTATCCCCCAATACTAATCTAATAAAAAACTTTTTATTACGTGCTAATCATACCTTTTATATTATTTATCCTTTTTTTTTATAAAATTGTTTACTTATTTAAACCCAAAATTTTTTTTCACATACCAATTAAAGGCTCCCCATTTTCATTTACCCCCCCGGCACCCAAAATTTTCCCACTACCCTTTTCCATAACATTTTTAAAACCCACTTTAGCATTGAAAACCCCAACCACCATTACTCTACACTTGATTCAAAACTCCCCACGCATTCACTCAACATTTCCCAAAATCTCTCTCTCTCCTCTACACTTCTCTCTTCTCCAGGTGCATACACGCTTATTATAACCCACTTTTCACATCCACTTTTCACATTTTATATATACTCTGATAATTATACTTATGTATACCTGTACCTAAATAAACTTACACGCTGTGCTGGCATGCAGGTACACATTAAAATCAGTAAGAGTGTCTTGTGTCTCCAGACGTCATATTAGTAATGATAATAATAATCGTCGAATCTCATTTAAATGTCGTATATTATGTTAATATACACATTTTCATTTTTCAAAATTATATAATAAACACGATGCATAACATATAAATAAGATGAATACACCCCACAGTAGAATAAATAAACATAAATGTGAGATGTGGTAGCAGACGACTTGTACAAGTGACGCCATATTAGAAATAATAATAATAATAATAATAATAATAATCACCGAGTCTCATTAAATGTCGTATATTACGTTAATATACGCATTTTCATTAATCCATCCATGATATTTTTTTTCAAAATTATATAATAAACACGATACATAACATAAAAAGATGATAAATACACCCCACAATAGAATAAATAAACATAAATATGAGATGTGGTAGCCAGATAACTTGTACAAGTGACGGCAAGAATAACATTTTCTCTAATCTAACATAGAAAATGTGTTACTGGGGGTAACTGTAGAAAATTATTCCTTTCGTATGTATGTAAGTTTATTCGGGTATACACAAATACAGTTACATAGATTATCATACATAACAACATATGTGTAGAGAACCTAGGATAACCCAAAAAAGTCAGAGTGACTTATTTCCATTGCCTTCACTCAGAGTATCATTCTTCTCAAAATGATGCTACATGAGAATGGGAGTGTTCTTCTTTATTTATTCTACCATATCAATGTAGAGACAACCTGTACACAATGTAACTTGTACACAAACCAGACGTGTACACTTTGTTTGTTTACAAAACTTAAGTTCGCCTGGTTTGTTTACATAACTCTGCGCCTGTCTTCTCTCATGCACTCATTCTTTCTCTCTCTCATTTATTCATTTTATCTCATTTACTTTCTCCTGACCCTACATTAAAACTACAAATATTTTAAGGTAAGTAATGAGTGGACTGTATATACATTTTATCGCTCTGGGATGCTTAAATATCATAGAATAGTATGTGTGGGTGGGTTGGCCTGGTATGGTAGCCTGGCTGGCTACCATACATACCACACTTGATTTCTTACAATAAATACTACTTGTCTCACCCTAGATTAAGACTATAAATATTTTAAGGTAAGTAATGAGTGCACTATGTGTGTATTGTACTTCTTTATTGTTTTTTGATGCCTGGTTCTAGTGCTAACTTAATATATGTTAGTGTAAACTTGTTATCTAGTGTTTGTATGCATTTATAAGGAAAAAAAAGGGTGTTCCACTTTACGGCGTTTTCCGCTTTAACGGCGGTAGCCTGGAACCTAACCTACCGTATAAGTGGGGCCCTACTGTACTTTCAAATGTTGAAAAAATGTAGATCTAATGTTTGGACAGTTAAAGGGTTAATCTTAGTTAACTTACCACTCAATAATGTGTTAAAACAATGGCCACTCTGAAGGAGAGAAAAAATATAAATTTATGTACGAATAATTTTCTCTCCATAACCATTGAATGTTGTTATGAAAACTATTTATGGTGTCCCGTAGCTCGATTGCGTCACACACTGAGGTCTGGGGTTCAAATCTTCTCCGGTACGGCTGGAAAACATTATGGACGTGTTTCCATAAGGCACCTGCTGTCCCTGTCCCTGTTCACTCAGCAGTTTAAAATGGGTACCTGGGTGTTAGTTGCCTGGTGTGGGTTGCATCCTGGGACAAAATTGACCCAATTTGCCCGAAATGCTCAGCATAACAAGCGGCTTTCTATATAGTAGTATGTCATTGACGACAGCTAGGCCTGTATACCATGTTCATGTACTTGTAGTAAATAAAGATATATATAAGATCTAAAGATATAAATCTGTAGGGGAAGGAAGACGGGGTAGGGGTCATCCTTGAAAAGGTTGGAGGGATGGGGTAAAGGTGGTGTTGTGGGCGAGGGGTTTGGACTTCCAGCAAGCGTGAGCGTGTTAGATAGGAGTGAATGGAGACAAATGGTATTTGGGACCTGACTATCTGTTGGAGTGTGAGCAGGGTAATATTTAGTGAAGGGATTCAGGGAAACCGGTTATTTTATATAACCGGACTTGAGTCCTGGAAATGGGAAGTACAATGCCTGCACTCTAAAGGAGGGGTTTGGGATATTGGGAGTTTGGAGAGATATATTGTGTATTTTTATACGTATATACTTCTAAACTGTTGTATTCTGGGCACCTCTGCAAAAACAGTGATTATGTGTGAGTGAGGTGAAAGTGTTGAATGATGAAAGTATTTTATTTTTGGGGATTTTCTTTGTCTTTGGGTCACCCTGCCTCGGTGGGAGACGGCCGACTTGTTGAAAAAAAAAATTATTATTATTTATTATTATTATTAATTATTATTATATTATTATTATTATTATTATTATTATTATTATTATTATTATTATTATTATTAAATACCATTGGTAACTGGAGTATTGAGATTTAAAATATCCCAAATCAATATTCATTTCAAACCTTCAAACGTGTGAATACTGTATATAGTAAATAAGAAGTCACTGTGTCTTCCAGTGGATGTACGTATCTCTGGGTTTGTTCTTGTGCTGCACCTGCCATACTTGCTTAGTATTCAGCGTTTCTTCACGGACAATTTACCACAGCAACCTGACTCGCCTTCACCTGTCAAGCCCAAAGATACACCCAAACCAAAGGTAAGAATTAAATCTTTTTCCTATGATAAAAGGCAAAGCACTTTCTGGAAAAGTGTTGGTACAGAACTTTCTTTAATATGGAATTAAAATGTTAGGATGATTGAGCTTGATTTATAATTTGGCGGGTGGGAAAGACTAAGTATATCCTCATAGAATATTTATTGTAAGAATTCAATATTTTCATAGCCATTTCAGGTTTAGGATCCTTTTGCATCCCCTCTGTTCTCAAATATAGTTATTCATTTAACTTTTTTGAATTTTGATATTAGAGATGTAGGAAGTACTATCAGAAATTTCAAGAGTAAGTTTGTGAACATAAGGGATGTTCATAGAAGAGTCCTTTGGTCAGACTACCTCACTCAACTATCCAAATTCACTCTCTCATAATCATGCACTAAGTCCAGTTGACATTAAAATTATAGCTAAAGCCCCAAACATTTTTTGTATCAGTGGGTGAAGAAGTCATGTATGTTTGAGCTCCGTCAAAATTGTATTACTCTGATGGTCCAAGAGAGGCCAGAGTGCGGAAAATAGGCATGTGCAAACCTTAAAGTGCATATACTCTTTTGAACCTACATAAAGGAAATACCAGTGATCACTGAAGAAAAAAAAATAGATTATAGTGCCAAGTGTAGAATGCCCAGGCCTCAGAATAATGCTGTTACTGGAGGTGCCATTCAGGAATTGGTTTGTGACTAGCAGTGAGTGTTTATCAGTGAGGGGAAAAAAAGAAAGCTCAGGGATTAGCATAAGTTCAAAGAGCAGAAAAGCTAAGAAATGAAAAAGGACTATTGTTAACCTTAAAACTGTCCAAACGTAGATGTACGTCAAAGTGCGTAGCGCTCCAGACATAAGTCTACATCTGATTTTACATCCTTTCTTATGAAAAAACTTAGATCTACAATCGGAGCACTACGCACGTCAACATAGATCTACGTTTGGACAGTTTAAGGGTTTTAACCGCAGGAAAATGTAAGATATAATTGCTAGTAAAAGTGTAGGAGTGCAGGTTGTGAACTAGGCCTAAGTGTTTCCATGCAGTGGTCGTATTATGGAGAAATTTTTCTCCAGGAAGAAGGGGGTATCTGTCCTCTCTCAGCCCCTTTCAGTCCTTGAGGGACTCAGTCCTCCAGAGAGGCTGATAGCCTCTTGTTTCTGATCAACAAGTTTGATTTGGTGACACATGTTTGTACCCGGGTGCCAAGCAAGACACATCACGGCTGACCAGTGTTGCAATCTAGGGTGGGTTAATGAGAGGAAAATTAATCTCATACCTTAGCAGGACAATTAAAAAAAACCTGCACCCCCTTCATGTACAAGTTATTGCTCATATACACTGACGTCTATGCTCAGACAACAAAAAATCAAACATTTTGTATTGCTTCCTCTTGCAGTTTAGCAAGGAAGGAAATAATGCTTGAATCAGCATATCCTTTATGGAACTAGAGACGCCGAGGGCAGCTGCGGCTAAAGCGGGGCAGGGGCCAGCAGGTTGAAATAAGAACTGGTCCGAGACCGTGTTGCACATGCATTGACCATAACAAAGGAAGTAATAACAGTTCAGTCTCAACCTCTCAGACAATCTCCATATGTGCTGTAGAAAGATTACAGAGAAGTGTGCTCGGCTTCCTGTAGTGACAGTACAGTGAATGAAGGACAAGTATTGGAGAACAGTATGGTGACAGTGCGAGTGTTACAAATTTCCAGACTGAGTGGGAGGATGTGTGACATTCCTCAAAAGACACCATTCTTCCCTCAAGACAGTGGATATCTGTTGACCCTTAAGGGTCTGATACATATACCCAGGTAAATCTGCTTAGGCATAATTTAATTCAATTGACTATGCAGTTAAGAGCTAAGGTATGACCTAGCCAAGGTTATTTTACACCTGGTTACCCACTGGCCATCGAGCCCAAAAATATAAGTAAATAAGGCACTGTTCAGTATTCAGTTACTGAATGTATATTGCCATATGCTCCTTTGGGGCAATCATTCACTTATATTTCTCAATATATATTTCTATAACAGGGTTGTAGAACAACTGTTGCATGTCAGAGGAGTTTTCTTGGTGCAGCTGCAGAAGGCTGATCCAGCAACAAAGCTAAGTACAGTGGAACCTCAAATTTCGAACATATCAGTTATCGAACTCTTTCGAAAATAGAACGCTTTTTTCGAACCAACTTTGTCCCTATTATCGAACTTTCCCCTATTTTCGCACCACCGGGTACCGGACCTGTCCGGCAGCCCGCTCTGTCCGCGTCCCCACGCAGGCGCCGTGAGCCAGTCTGGTTATGCTGATGCTTGAGTGAACACTAACCTGCGCTCTCATTCAAACATTTTTACGATTATTTCATTGTGTTTAGTGCTTATGGGACTGTGAAATAAGCTACAATGGGCCCAAAGAAACTTGCTAGTGGCACCCCTGTGATAAAGAAAGTGAGAAACACCATAGATGTGAAGAAGAAATAATACAGAAGTGAATTATGTCCAAGTGGAATGATGTCCAAATGTTTGTGGAGAAGTATCACCCTGAGCAAGCTGAAACAAACAATCTTTGCAACAAGTTCAGTGACAGAACCATGTCCCATTTTAGGAAAATCTTAGAGGCACCAGAAACAGAGGACTGTGGACAGTTACTTTGTGAGACAGGGTCCAGTGACTCTCAAGCTGGTCCTACTGGCATTAAAAGGCAGAGAAGGGAAGTAATCCCAGAGAGGGCTTTGATACCTGAAGTTCTCATGGAGGTGGAGTCTCCTTCCAAACACTAACCCCAACTCCCTCTCCTCCTCCTCCCTATCTTCCAGATGCCATCACCAGTCTTCAATAAAGGTAAGTAAAATGCTATTTTATGTTTATTTAAATTTATTAAATACATAATTTAACACTATATTTGTTGTGTGTATGTAAAACTATAATCTCTATAAAATGTATTTTTTTTGTGAATATTTTTGAGTTTCTGGAACGGATTAATTGTATTTCCATTATTTATTATGGAATATTGCTTTGCTTTTCAGACTTTTCGAATTTAGAACTAACTCCTGGAATGGATTAAGTTAGATATTTGAGGTTCCACTGTACCTAATTCCTCTACAGTTACATAGCTTATGTTGATGTTCTACAGACGAATCCCTACAAGTTGGTCCTTCGAACCAGATACTGGCCACATAGTGGTCCAAAAGCTTGTAATACAGTGTAGAAGTAATTATGAGCCAAGGTCCTTTGAGGAAAAACTTAAAAACTGGTGTTTTACAAAGTAAATCAAAATATTGGAGTCTGTGCACTTAAAGAGAATGGTGAGCAAGAGGCGGCTGGCTCGCTAGCCAATAGAAAACTGGAGGTGCTTACCCAGCTCAGAGTCCCCCCAGAGGCACTCGCCCATCACCCAATAGAAAACGGGGCACCCAGCGGGGCTGGCTTACCCATCATTCACTCTCGCTCTGCCCTCAATTGTGCACACAGCAATAACAACCAGACTGGCAGTCAGTTTGTCTGAATGTATATCTACACAGTGTTTATAGTTTATAGACAAAGTCTCTTAAATATTAAAGGAAGTTTATATTAAGTTTAAGCTTTTTATATTGACAGTGACATTTATATGTCTAAGAAATATGCATGTGTGCTGTATACAGTGGGGATGTGTATAGTATCTTACAATGACTCAGCAGTGTCCCAAGCTTTATACCAGCATCAACAGCTGATATCAAGGTTCAGCCATATGTACACTGTGTACCTCCAAGGTCAGGGTCATGGTCAGTAGGTCAGTAGTGTTGCTGATGCAATTATTACTGACAATCACAACAAGCTTTTCTCTGTTCACTGCTGTGAAGATTGTAAACACACTAAGTATAGTGCAGATGAAAATTACGCAAGTTGAAGATTTGTTTAATGTCTGTGAAGGGTTGACTCAGAATGCAAATATTAACCCTTCAGGGTCCAAGGCCAAAATCTGAAGTGGTGCTCCAGTGTCCAAGAAATTTTGAAAAAAAAAAAAATTATTTTTTCTTACAGAATTTAAAGAGCATATTTTTGTGAAGGTAATAAGACAAAAAAAAAAAATCTGATCAGTACTTACCGAGATACAGTGCCAAGAAGTTTGTCAAAAATGATGTGGTGCGGCAACATCGACGAATTCCACATAGCGCATTACATTATTTTGTTGGTTTTAGTTTTTTTCTTGTCTTTTTTTTCCAATTTTTTTCTATTCCTACAAAACTTTTGGGGCCTGAGAGCCCAAATATTTGTATATAATGGTATTATATAAAACTCACTGTATTGAACACAATAACTGCACTAAAGTTATTATCATATTATTGTTTACCACTGTTGTTTATTACAATAAACATGCACAAATTTTGTATAATTACTAATTTGTTCTATCATAATTTACATATTTACAATCACTGGACAGGGTTTTTAGAACTGCGGAGCTTGTGGAACTCATTGAAACAAGGCACCATGCACAGAGGCACCTTACATTCCTCACACATAAACCGAGTGTCTTTGCGTCTTTGTTGCCGTCGTTTTTTTTGTGCACAGACAATGCATCTCTTTTCTGAGCAAATTTCTTCTGAGTTGAAGGAAGCTGTATTATAAATGATCACCTCTCTCCTCAAATGCTTGGGTATATCCTGGGGAAATTCGAGGACCAGTTGTATAACACGTGTTGTTACCTGGTACTTCATTATGAGTTTTCTGACAACAGAAAAACAAAATTCACCATACGGTGGTCTGTTGCCAGTCTTTATTTGGTACATATTTATGCATTGAGCATTGAAATGTCCATGAGATGGAAGAAAAGTTTCATGAAACCACTTGTAACTCTTACGAACACAGTCAACAAAACCAATCTGCATGTCACACTTGTCAACCAAGCGCATGTTTTGTGTATAATCAATCACTGACACTGGTTTTCGAATCGTTCATTAGTCACTCGATCAACTTTGCCACTGTCTTGCATTTCATTACGGTGAATGGTTTTTCAACAATGTGACATCTCGTTT